CAACGACAGCGCGCTCGAGAGATCAAGTGTGATCGGTTGTATAGAAATTAACCTTTTTGTAGCTCGATTTTTAAAAAAACTTGAAACCCTTTAATTGGTACCGCAAGGTATGCATTAATTGGCCACAGAATGCTCGCATGAAAAATCAGAGCATGTTGCTAATGCTGAAAAACCAGAACTTTTTGTTGAACTTTGCTCACCTAGAAGTGTGCATGTTAAATCTCCTACTGCAGAAACTAATCCAGGATGAAACTGAACTTAATCTGTGACTCTCAGGAAGCAAACACAAAGAGCGGGTTCAGTCCACAATTTGTAACTGCGGAATAAAATTGAACTACTTAATCACAAATTACTTGAAACATGCTCACTTGCGGCACTTGTTTCTGCTGCTGAAACTAAAAACTAAGACTTCAAGATGTCCACTGAGAGCCCGGAGTTTATTGCATCAAATCTAGTCCCAAGTCAACAGGACACCCAAGGCAGATCAAGTTAACATCCTCCGAACTAGTTTGAAAACAAAACTTCGTCTTCAATAAAACAATTGCTTTTTCATTAGTTTTTTTTTTCATATCATTTATGGCGCAATTATGCCAACTGTAAAGAGAACAAATTAACAGAAAAGTCCATAAAATATTTTTCACTGTTCGATTTGTGAGATATAACTCGATCCAATTGAAAGACCAAAGCCAGAAAAATGCTTCAACTAAAAATGCAGATGAAATTAAGGAGCCGGAACCGGAGAAAACATCCGATAATGGAGAAGCCATGCCCACCAAGCGAACCAAACTGGTCACGTGCCATCTGTGCTTGTCTATTTTTGCTGCTGTTTCTGGCACTGGTTTTGTGTTTGGATTCAACACAGGAGTTCTCAACAACCCAATGGTGATTAAACAATCGATTGGTTTTTTGGATGATTTCAAATAGTTTTCTAGAAGTTAAGAACCAAAAATACGAAAACTAGACCAGTTATAAGAGGTTTTGCTTGTCGGATTGAAGAACTGGGGATCCAATGGGCATTGTTTTTCGTGAAGTGGACCCTCATTTGGTACTTTTTTTACGCTAAATATTTTTTGCAACCTAAAATCTGAATAAGCGCATTTTGGGCTTTGATACGTTTTAATTTCGAACCAGGGGTATCAAAAAGTATGATAGTTTTAAAAAATAGGGAGACTTCCAAAAATCAAAATGGTTACCATCCAAAAATTTGGCTATAGTTTTTTTAGAAACTCATTGTCTTGAGGCGGCCTATTTTAATATGTCTTTTATTATGTGCTAACGTGGTATGAGACTCCACTCAAGGCATACATGACAAGTTAAAGGGTGATGATGTTTATGCTGTGCTATAGCCAGTTGCGCTATATCCTTAACGTGATACAGTAACCTTATTCTGAGTCCATTATCTATTCTATTTAAAACGGAGCTAGAAAATGTCAATGTTACGGATACAGTGTATCTTATCATTCTTTACATAAATTATAAGTTTATATTACTTATTTGCCTACGATTTTCTTTTAACTCTTCAGCTTTGAGTCAGTACTGGGCGGATTATATCATGGCGCAGCCATCAGTTCCTGTGAATGAAGATAGGACTGACTTGTTCATTAATCCGTATTTTGAGCTAAACGCTTAGTTAACTCGCCATTCTTATAGGAAGTTTGGATTGGCCTTCTTCCTGGCCAGGGGAAAAAATCATCCCCAATGACATTCTAGCAGACCCAGCGGCTATTGTCGACAAGCCACCTCCGAATCTGGAAACACCTTCAGTCATTGAAGATGCGGCAGCTCAAGACTCTCGTTTTCTGCGCGATCAAGCAGCTGTTAGCAGAAACAAAGATTGAAATGCCGAAAGGAGACATGGAGGCCCTCGATCTGGGGAAAAAGGTTCTACGACGACGCAGAAGCTCGCCTCAAGTCCTGCTTATTTTTATCTTTTCGGAACGAAGGTCAACGACGGTTCACAGAGTCGAACCCACATCTCGACCTCAATACCTATTCGTTCAATGATTTTTGAGCCAGCTGCGAAGCGCTATTCAGAACCAATCGTAATTACACGGTATAACGGATCAAACTGTTTAAGATGATATTCAAGCTACAATCCGATACTTCTTCATCTTTCTACTTCGTCAGTCTGCGCAAGCGGCTTTGTGCAATTGGCCTCAAGTTTAGGACTGAGAAGTGTCGAAACACTTATTTATCGGACAAGTTTGCGATGTTGAGATTCAAAAACAACTGATTAGGGCATGGAAAGATCTTGATAACACAATGTACTTGTCTCTAGAATGTGAAAAAAGGAGAAACAGTTCGGCTCAATTCCAAAACCTACTACCTCACAAAATCCAAGGTTCTGAAATCACTAAGATCAAAGACGAGCCGGCATAAAGGGTAGCTACAGTGCAGGGACAGGGTAGCAGTAGCAAGGCTTGTTATTTCTGTGGGAACCCATTCCACTTGGAACACCGAAAGTTGTCTCCCACGAGAGACGTCATCTGTAACCTCTGTGAAAACTCGGGCATTTTGCTAAGCCTGGCAAATAATTTTCCAAATGAAGAATACAATTGGTGCGCGAAGAGAATGTCACCCGACATCCAACGGAGGATTGCAATTTCATAGATGTGAGTTTTGACAGTGAACCGGAACATGGTTTACTTATGATCAAGGAGATGGTTCAAATATACAGTATTGAACTCCTACATTCCAATGCTGGATAAGCTTTCAACTAAGATCAAATCAGAGTTTCTTATATGCAACTGTCGATGCAGGACGCCCAGTTTCGTTCATTAATCAGCGTATCGCTAATCTTCTACTTCAGAGGAATGCTAATATCATCTAAAAGGATGCTGCGAGATTCCGTTTGAACACGACATATGTGGATAAGATCGAGATGCCCATCAAGCGGTACGATTGTAATTCCAATTTCATCCAATGGATGGAATTCCGATTCCTCGTTGTTCCTGGTTCCGGAAAAAAAGAAACTCAAATCTCATTAAGTGGTGCGCGAATTTTCAGTGAACAATCATATCTGACTGGAGTTTGAGATTGATGAAATTGGTTACCCGCCAAAAAATTTGAAAATATTTTTATCAATTATTAAAATCCCCCTCAAACCCTGAAACAGCTACAATCTTTTGTGGTGACATTAAACCAGTTGCAAAAGTTTTAGAAACATATTTACACATTTAACTGTACTTTTCCCACGTCATTAAAGAACTTTCACGAGCCATCTTTTTGGTGGGGTAGAAACAAATTGTTGCGTTCTATAACATAATAAAATTGATAGCAAAAAACCAAAGATCAAGTTGCGCTATATCCTTATTATTGTGGGCTCTGTGCTGGCAATATTAGCCAATCAGAGAGCTTGGCTTATAAAATTTTGTCGCAAGGCGGGTGGCAGATATATAAGCAAGAATCAAAGCCAATCAGAGCCCTCTGTTAATAGTCTAATCCAGCATGAGGGCAGCCAAATATTACCTACGTGATGATATTCATCACAGATGATCAAGCACAACGTTAACTTTCGCGAATCGCCGCTAGAGGATAAAAGGATGCTCATTTCAGATATCGGTCAAGCAGATTGCCATATGCAAAGTGACTCGCTACTTTGTCAGTCGATAGAGGGCGTTGAGTTATGCGCGGGGATTTATAGCCAATCACAATCTGGTGTGCAAATTACGAGTTGTAAATACCAAACAGCGAGTCGAAATCATTGTTTTCCGATCTGATCTTGCCAATTTTAGTTTCTCTCCATCATTTCTCATAATGAACTCAAGCAACAGCACATTTGAGATTCTTGATATTGCTCTACAGCAAAACATCTACAAACTTTCATTGAAAAGTTCCCAACAAATTCCTCTCTCTTTCCTCAACTAACCCCGAAGAGGTCTTTTTCGGGCCTATGTTCTCTTTAACCCCATTCAACCAACCGAGGCAAAAGATTGGGCTTCGAAAGATACTCAAATCGAAAACGGGATATTGGTTTTGGAGATCAGCAACAGGAAGCCCCTAGTTAACCTGAGTAGACAGAGAATTGTGGGGCTTCCAGGTAATTTTGACGGTGAGTTACTAGCCGAAATTTGGGCCCGATGAAGAAAGTCGTTGTGAACAGGGATGATTAAAAGCGTGATTGTCGTTAATAAGCTGAGAAATACGGAGCAATTGCGTTCGACTATCTTGTCGCGGTTACATCGCTCGCACCTAGGATAAGAGGATATGATATCCGCCTGCGAATACATCTGGTGGCCATACATCAGATTAATGAGATATGCGAAAAACGCAGAGAGTGTAATCAGTTCGGCAAGTATTTATAAAAATTTCAATCGCGCAATTTTTCTTAGCCGCTACCGCACTTGTCAGTTCCAAATTAAGAACTGCAATTTTATTTTGCGGGACCAATGGTCGATGAAAACGATTAGAAAATCTTCTTTTTAGTCGCGATCGGTTTTCTAAGTTTTTTTCTGTTTACTAATCAAAACAACAGGGGCAAAAAAAAGTGAAATCCTGACAATCGCAATCAAGGGAGACCAAACTCAATTCGAACTGATCATGAATCGGGTTTTAAAAAGGCGTGTTTAGACAGTTTTGTATAAAGAGAGGCATTAATCAAATTCTCATCCAAGTTGCAGATCACACAGGCAGCGGTTTGGTAGAGCGTGCAATTCAGACGACCAAACTAAAGTTGGGTACTAGAAAACTCGACCCAGTTTAAGTAAGATGGAATCTACCTTACAGCGAATAACCGAAGACATGAGGAAAATTGAACATTCCATTCTATTCATGAAATCTCTCTTCTAACTTCAATGCACACAAAACGTATACCGAGTGTTCACTAGCACTTATAGCATTGTAAATAATGATACTTGAGCACAACGACTTGCGACAAGTTTGTTCTTGCGAAGAATTTGTTGACCGCCGCTCAGATTTTCAGTAAAGACTACAGCGGAGACCGATCAAATAAGGTTTCTCGAGGCAGTTCCAGCCCTCATGTGTCACTGAGATTTAGCCCGATGTTCACGGTCGGCTCTAGGGTAGCGGACAGCGAATCCTACAAAGCGCCAAATGTGTCGGTCGAACAGGAACGGAAGAAAAGACTGATGGACCTGAAGAAGCTAGCAGTTCGTCACGGAGACCTGGCAAATACTCTGAAAACGGGGCTCATGAGACGTACCCTCAAATTTTATGAGCATAACAACAATCCAGTCATACTGGCCTTATCAGATAGCCAACGCCTAAATGTAGAGCAGAGCTCTCGCCGGCCTACAGAAACCAAATTATTCTACTTATTCCTTACATAATCTATCGATTTACATTACTGATAAATTTACTACTTCCTTTTAAACCTTCAGTTCGGAGTCAGTACTGGGCAGGTTATGCTCCCGGTCTTAGTCTAATCCATCCTCAAGAAAGACACAAACAGTTCAAATCTGAGAACATAAAACCAGTTTTGGATTGCCTAAAAATTCCAACAAATCACGAGGCGCAAAACAAAAAAAACTCTCGCCAACGTTTGTAGAAATGGCATCAAAAACCGGATGGTTTATTTTGAGTTTTGAGAACGTTGCATGGGATCAGTGTAATAGATTTTTTCATTGAATTTGTTGCATACAGACACTGATGTCAAATCAGTCCACGAACTCAATCTTTTTAGGTTAGGTTGTAGGGTGTTTCAACAATTAAATTTAACTAAAATCAATCATTTTTCAAAAATGAACAAGACTGCTCGTAAATCAGGGTAAAACCCAATTTTTCCGACTGCCCCTTAATCTATATTGAAAAACTTTAAGCTTTGGACACTATCAAAGATCAAGTGTGAAAATTTGTGTCGTACGAAATTAAAGGACCGATTAGCTAGCCTCACTTCAATTTGGAACAATTTTCATGTGCATATTGGTTCGCCAGGCATAAATAACTCGCGTTAAGATTGCTGGATTAAAAATAAAATCTTGAAATTGCTCATAAATTAGTTCAGAGCCTGGCGGAATTGGCAACTTTCAATCTGCTAAAACTTATCGAAAAAACGATAAGAGGTAAAACATCTTCTCAAACTTAGTTTCGAGGAGTCAATATCGTCAATGAGGCATAGAACTTTTTTTAAAAAAATAATTGTATCGATCGACAAAAATTCACTGAATACGACAAAACTACACCAAGCATAATTATTCCGTTTTTTTTTCTAAAATGGGAACAACAAGACTGCTCGTACTGTAAAGCCTTGAATGTTGTAACGGCCTTTTAGTTAATCTGCAATACTTTCTAACGAATGAGTTTGTATTAAACTTTGGACTGTCACTATCAAAACATAAGTTGATTAGCCCAGCTTCTGCAAATATCGGTTTAATTTCAAGTTTTAACATTTTCGTTTTGATAATGATAATCCAAATTACTTTACAATTTATTTTGTTAAATATATGGATAAAAGACTGCTGGTACCAAGGCAAAGCCCTGAAGGTTGCTACTGTCCATAAATTGGTCTCGGATAAATTTAGTGTATGAAATATTCACAAACTAGGACTTTTAAGCTGACTTTTAAGAATCGTGTATGTAGTTGAAAGACTAATTAGCCTACCTCAATTGAAATTGGAACGAGTTTGTGGTGCGGGATACTTCACGACGCATAAATTATGCGAGTTAAATTTTCAGCATCAATGCGTCACGCAACTCTTTTAGTCACTTTAGTCTATTAGTGAGCGTTTCACCGCAATGTTTCTGTCAGGCAAGTCTGGCGATGAGCGCGTCCTTCTGGGAACGCGAAGATCCTTAGATCGATCCACTGATGGAAAAATGTTGAGAGTTAATCGGAAAAAAAGACCAACCCGAACATATATATTCCTGACTTTCGTCGCAAGCAGGAACAAAACAAGGCCAACTAAATTTCCTGATTTCAGCTCCCAGAAATATTGTGTGCGGATTAAAAACCCTGGTTATTCTATTTTCGGAATCATAGAAAAAATCAAATGAGCAGTTTTCGTGCACTTCGAGGGTTGTATAAAGTAAAGCGCAATCCCTTGGAAACAAGTAGAGTCCAGCTCTACGACTTTTTTTTAAATAATAAAAAACTCCAAGCATGTATAATCCTCAATTTCTTCCAAAATGGTTAAAAAACAAAATAAAGTTTCTATTTCACCTGTAAGAAAATTCGAGTGATGAATTTTTTCAAAACCTGACCATAATTTAGTTTGATTAAATCAGACTACTGCGTTCTGGAATTATTATACCGAGAACTATCTGTTTCATAATTGCACAAAATTTCTTAACTCTAGTTCATCAATGATGATCGTCTTTTAAGATCTTACAAAAGTTTAGCAATATAAGCATTATCTCTCATTTTTTTGCATTTTTGTAGAAATGTTGCAAGATCATTCAAGATAACCATATTCAAATAACTAGTAAAACTAGAGGATAACTATTTTTTCTTTTGCGATCTTCGAACCTGGTGGTCTTCGAAAATTCCATATTACCCGGGTCGAGGTGCTCAATTTATGTCTCGACTTTATCGACCAAAAATCTGTATGTCTCGACTTTCTCGACAAAGTTTCGGTATGTTTCGACGTTTTCTACCATATTTCGGCATGTTTTGACTTTTTCGACCAAATTTCGGGATGTTTCAATTTTCTTGACTAAATTTAGGTATGTTTTAAACTTCTCGGCCCAAAAAAAAACTGTTTGTCTTTGTTCAAACCAGTTCAGATGTGTTTCGACTTTCTCGGCTAAAATTCGATATGTTTCGGCTTTCTTGCTTTACCCGACCGACCATTTTTAGGCGTTTGAAAATTTTGTATGCTCGACCTCGCTTAGATACGTTTTGATTTTCTCCACCTGTGTTGCGACTGTACTCGACCTATATTTCGACTTTCTCGACGAAAATTGGGTGTGTTAAGAATTTCTTGACCTGTGAGTTCACTTTCTCGCCATATGTTTCGACTATCTCGACTAAAATCGGGTATGTTTCGATTTTGTGCTCGATTTAAAATTGCTTCTCGACCGCGGAATTTCAGTCGCAAAACTGCACTTGCTCGACTTTCAAAGTCGAAACATAAGTCCACCCGGGTAATCTGTAAATTTTTGCTTTTTATTGAGTGATACATTGATATAGAATAGCAAAAAAAATTCTTGTAAAATAGAAAAATAGTAAATCTGGGGAAGTTTCTGCTGAATGTTATTTAGTTTGAACAGCTGGGAAATATTGGCGCAAGTGCTAGCTGAAGACCTATAAGAACGACGATTTTGTAAATCTTTAACTGTAAGTGATTTATTTATCTCATTCTGAAAAGTCGACACCAAAGTTTCATAGTTCTCGTCTGAAGACAGTAGGAATTGATGGCTTGCTATTACTCGCAACTGACCGGAGACTATTTCTATCCTAAGTTCTGCTTGCCATTTTGTTTAAAAAGATCAACAAGTATTTTCAAAGTTTACTCACTAATGTCCTCACTTTTCGGTCCACATGCCTGTTACGTGGGCACATAAAAAATCGTTCTAAAAAACGTTTGTTTCACTTTGCCAGGTGAATTATTCCTCCGCACGCCATTGGCCTCTTTGCTTTGAAAAATTATGGATAGAAAGCGCCAAAAGTGAAATGAAATGTGTCCAAATAAAAAAGCCACTATGAAGATGTAGTGTTTTTGTAGGACCACATAAAGGAGTTCTTCAACGAGACTAAAGTAGAGCGGACAGGGGATGGCTTCTCGAGCAGTGGACTGACGTGGTACTGGGCCTCCTGCGTCGCCATCTGGGCCCTCTTCGCAATCGTCGGCTCCTTCGTCAGTGCCTACTCCTGTTCACGCTTCGGAAGCAAGAACACCATGCTGCTCAACAACGTCCTCCTCCTCATCGGAGCTCTGCTGCAGTCTCTGTGCAAACCAGCCAAGTCCTATGAGATGTTCTTCATCGGTCGACTTGTGATCGGTCAGATTTTGAACAAGCCCCAAACTTACACTTAGGCATAGAACTCAATTTTTCTACTGCGAAATAAAATCAAAGGCATCTAAATTAAAGAAAGATAGCCGGTTGATGTGCAAGTAGCATATAATGTTCTGACCAAACTCTTAAAAACACATCAAAACGCTTTTCTTTTCTTTTTTAATTAGGTGTTGTTTTTTGTGTGTGATAAAAGAATCTACCAAAACGTAAAAATTGGGCATATTTGACAATCACGGTAAAAAAGCATATCGGGTTACGGTTTAAGTCGGAAAACGACAGGAAAAAAATCTAAAAGCCTTGCAAAATTTTGAAAAAAAAATTTATCCCGAAGTTGGCGCTAAAAAGTTTCAAAAAAACTTAACAGTAGCTAAACTAAAGTTTTATGGCCTATCCTTCTAAAATACGCCTGTTTGTGTGCTTTTTTTGCTCGAACTTACTGTGAAACTCACTTAGACTAATTCACTTAGAAATTAGACTAAATTTCAAACCGATTTTTCGCGACACTGAGACAACTTTTTGAAAATTATGATTATCCCAGCCATATATATTCCACCCCTTACGTTGATTTTGGAAATAACAAAAAGAAAAGGCTGCTCGCTCGAAAATAGACAAAAAATCGAAATTTTCGAACCAATTGTTATCGACACTGGGAAAATTTCTTGAAAAGTTTTCAGTGCCGTTCGAATCATGGCTGTAAGGGCTTTAATATGAAATATCACTCAACCAGTCCGATGATTATTTGTGGTATCTGATTTTGCTTGAAAATTTTTCAGTGCCGTTCGAATCATGGCTGTAAGGGCTTTAATATGAAATATCACTCAGCCAGTCCGATGATTATTTGGTGTATCTGATTTTGCTCGAAAACTTTTCAGTGCCGTTCGAATCATGGCTGTAAGGGCTTTTATATGAAATATCACTCAACCAGTCCGATGATTATTTGTGGTATCTGATTTTGCTTGAAAACTTTTCAGAACCGATCGAATCATGGCTGTAAGGGCTTTAATAAGAAATATCACTCAACCAGTCCGATGATTGTGTTTGTGGTATCTGATTTTGCTTGAAAACTTTTCAGTGCCGTTCGAATCATGGCTGTAAGGGCTTCAATGAGAAATATCACTCAGCCAGTCCGTTGATTATTTGTGGTTCTGATTTTGCTTTAAAACTTTTCAGTGCCGTTCGAATCATGGCTGTAAGGGCTTTAATATGAAATATCACTCAGCCAGTCCGATGATTGTTTGTGGTATCTGATTTTGCTTGAAAACTTTTCAGTGCCGTTCGAATCATGGCTGTAAGGGCTTTAATATGAAAGATCACTCAACCAATCCGATGATTATTTGTGGTATCTGGTTTTGCTTGAAAACTTTTCAGTGCCGTTCCAATCATGGTTGTAAGGGCTTTAATATGAAATATCACTCAGCCAGTCCGATGATTATTTGTGGTATCTGATTTTGCTTGAAAACTTTTCAGTGCCGTTCGAATCATGGCAGTAAGGGCTTTAATATGAAATATCACTCTACCAGTCCGATGATTATTTGTGGTATCTGATTTTGCTTGAAAACTTTTCAGTGCCGTTCGAATCATGGCTGTAAGGGCTTTAATATTAAATATCACTCAACCAGTCCGATGATTATTTGTGGTATCTGATTTTCTGATTTTGCTTGAAAACTTTTCAGTGCCGTTCGAATCATGGCTGTGAGGGCTTTAATATTAAATATCACTCAAACAGTCCGATGATTATTTGTGGTGTCTGATATTGCTTGAAAACTTTTCAGTGCCGTTCGTATTATTGCTGTAAGGGCTTTAATATGAAATATCACTCAACCAGTCCGATGATTGTTTGTGGTATCTGATTTTTCTTGAAAACTTTTCAGTGCCGTTCGAATCATGGCTTTAAGGGCTTTAATATTAAATATCACTCAACCAGTCCGATGATTATTTGTGGTATCTGATTTTCTGATTTTGCTTGAAAACGTTTCAGTGCCATTCGTATCATTGCTGTAAGGGCTTTAATATGAAATATCACTCAACCAGTCCGATGATTATTTGTGGTATCTGATTTTGCTTGAAAACTTTTCAGTGCCGTTCGAACCATGGATGTAAGGGCTTTAATATGAAATATCACTCAACCAGTCCGATGATTATTTGTGGTATCTGATTTTGCTTGAAAACTTTTCAGTGCCGTTCGAATCATGGCTGTAAGGGCTTTAATATGAAATATCACTCAACCAGTCCGATGATTATTTGTGGTATCTGATTTTGCTTGAAAATGTTTTTTTGCCGTTCGAATCATGGCTGTAAAGGCTTTAACATGAAATAACACTCAACTAGTCCGATGATTATTTGTGGTATCTGATTTTGCTTGAAAACTTTTCAGTGCCGTTCGAATCATGACTGTAAGGGCTTTAATATGAAATATCACTCAACCAGTCCCATGATTATTTGTGGTATCTGATTTTGGTTGAAAACTTTTCAGTGTCGTTCGAATCACGGCTGTAAGGGCTTTAATATGAAATATCACTCAACCAGTCCGATGATTATTTGTGGTATCTGATTTTGCTTGAAAACTTTTCAATGCCGTTCGAATCATCGCTGTAAGGGCTTTAATATGAAATATCACTCAACCAGTCCGATGATTATTTGTGGTATCTGATTTTGCTTGAAAACATTTCAGTGCGGTTCGAATCATGGCTGTAAGGGCTTTAATATGAAATATCACTCAACCAGTCCGATGATTATTTGTGGTATCTGATTTTGCTTGAAAACTTTTCAGTGCCGTTCGAATCATAGCTGTAAGGGCTTTAATATGAAATATCACTCAAAGAGTCCGATGATTATTTGTGGTATCTGATTTTGCTTGAAAATTTTTCGAGCCGTTCGAATCATGGCTGTAAGGGCTTTAAAATGAAATATCAATCAACCAGTCCGATGATTATTTGTGGTATCTGATTTTGCTTGAAAATGTTTTAGTGCCCTTCGAATCATGGCTGTAAGGGCTTTAACATGAAATATCACTCAACTAGTCCGATGATTATTTGTGGTATCTGATTTTGCTTGAAAACTTTTCAGTGCCGTTCGAATCATGACTGTAAGGGCTTTAATATGAAATATCACTCAACCAGTCCCATGATTATTTGTGGTATCTGATTTTGCTTGAAAACTTTTCAGTGTCGTTCGAATCACGGCTGAAAGGGCTTTAATATGAAATATCACTAAACCAGTCCGATGATTATTTGTGGTATCTGATTTCGCTTGAAAACTTTTCAGTGCCGTTCGAGTCATCGCTGTAAGGGCTTTAATATGAAATATCACTCAACCAGTCCGATGATTATTTGTGGTATCTGATTTTGCTTGAAAACATTTCAGTGCGGTTCGAATCACTGCTGTAAGGGCTTTAATATGAAATATCACTCAACCAGTCCGATGATTATTTGTGGTATCTGATTTTGCTTGAAAACTTTTCAGTGCCGTTCGAATCATGGCTGTAAGGGCTTTAATATGAAATATCACTCAACCAGTCCGATGATTATTTGTGGTATCTGATTTTGCTTGAAAATGTTTTTGTGCCGTTCGAATCATGGCTGTAAGGGCTTTAACATGAAATAACACTCAACTAGTCCGATGATTATTTGTGGTATCTGATTTTGCTTGAAAACTTTTCAGTGCCGTTCGAATCATGACTGTAAGGGCTTTAATATGAAATATCACTCAACCAGTCCCATGATTATTTGTGGTATCTGATTTTGCTTAAAAATTTTTCAGTGTCGTTCGAATCACGGCTGTAAGGGCTTTAATATGAAATATCACTCAACCAGTCCGATGATTATTTGTGGTATCTGATTTTGCTTGAAAACTTTTCAATGCCGTTCGAATCATCGCTGTAAGGGCTTTAATATGAAATATCACTCAACCAGTCCGATGATTATTTGTGGTATCTGATTTTGCTTGAAAACATTTCAGTGCGGTTCGAATCATGGCTGTAAGGGCTTTAATATGAAATATCACTCAACCAGTCCGATGATTATTTGTGGTATCTGATTTTGCTTGAAAACTTTTCAGTGCCGTTCGAATCATGGCTGTAAGGGCTTTAATATGAAATATCACTCAAAGAGTCCGATGATTATTTGTGGTATCTGATTTTGCTTGAAAACTTTTCGAGCCGTTCGAATCATGGCTGTAAGGGCTTTAATATGAAATATCACTCAACCAGTCCGATGATTATTTGTGGTATCTGATTTTGCTTGAAAATGTTTTAGTGCCGTTCGAATCATGGCTGTAAGGGCTTTAACATGAAATATCACTCAACTAGTCCGATGATTATTTGTGGTATCTGATTTTTCTTGAAAACTTTTCAGTGCCGTTCGAATCATGACTGTAAGGGCTTTAATATGAAATATCACTCAACCAGTCCCATGATTATTTGTGGTATCTGATTTTGCTTGAAAACTTTTCAGTGTCGTTCGAATCACGGCTGTAAGGGCTTTAATATGAAATATCACTAAACCAGTCCGATGATTATTTTTGGTATCTGATTTTGCTTGAAAATTTTTCAGTGCCGTTCGAGTCATCGCTGTAAGGGCTTTAATATGAAATATCACTCAACCAGTCCGATGATTATTTGTGGTATCTGATTTTGCTTGAAAACATTTCAGTGCGATTCGAATCACTGCTGTAAGGGCTTTAATATGAAATATCACTCAACCAGTCTGATGATTATTTGTGGTATCTGATTTTGCTTGAAAACTTTTCAGTGCCGTTCGAATCATGGCTGTAAGGGCTTTAATATGAAATATCACTCAAAGAGTCCGATGATTATTTGTGGTATCTGATTTTGCTTGAAAACATTTCAGTGCGGTTCGAATCATGGCTGTAAGGGCTTTAATATGGAATATCACTCAACCAGTCCGATTATTATTTGTGGTATCTGATTTTGCTTGAAAACTTTTCAGTGCCGTTCGAATCATGGCTGTAAGGGCTTTAATATGAAATATCACTCAACCAGTCCGATGATTATTTGTGGTATCTGATTTTGCTTGAAAGTTTTTTAGTGCCGTTCGAATCATGGCTGTAGGGGCTTTATTATGAAATATCACTCAACTAGTCCGTTGATTATTTGTGGTATCTAATTTTGCTTGAAAACTTTTCAGTGCCGTTCGAATCATGGCTGTAGGGGCTTTAATATGAAATATCACTCAACTAGTCCGATGATTATTTGTGGTATGTGATTTTGCTTGAAAACTTTTCAGTGCCGTTCGAATCATGGCTGTAAGGCTTTAATATGAAATATCACTCAACCAGGCCGATGATTATTTGTGGTATCTGATTTTGCTTGAAAACTTTTCAGTGCCGTTCGAATCATGGCTGTAAGGGCTTTAATATGAAATATCACTCAACCAGTCCGATGATTAATTGTGGTATCTGATTTTGCTTGAAAACTTTTCAGTGCCGTTCGAATCATGGCTGTAAAGGCTTTAATATGAAATATCACTCAACCAGTCCCATGATTATTTGTGGTATCTGATTTTGCTTGAAAACTTTTCAGTGCCGTTCGAATCATGGCTGTAAGGGCTTTAATATTAAATATCACTCAACCAGTCCGATGATTATTTGTGGTATCTGATTTTGCTTGAAAATTTTTCAGTGCCGTTCGAATCAAGGCTGTAAGGGCTTTAATATGAAATATCACTCAACTAGTCCGATGATTTTTTGTGGTATCTGATTTTGCTTGAAAACTTTTCAGTGCCGTTCGAATCATGGCTGTAAGGGCTTTATTATGAAATATCACTCAACCAGTCCGATGATCATTTGTGGTATCTGATTTTGCTTGAAAACTTTTCAGTGCTGTTCGAATCATGGCTGTAAGGGCTTTAATATGAAATATCACTTAACCAGTCCGATGATTATTTGTGGTATCTGATTTTGCTTGAAAAATGAAGAAAAAGAAGAAAGAAGTAAAACACACCCGGTACAAATATCCTCCCAATTTTCAATGGTCGGAACAATAACGCTTCTTTCTGCAAACGAAGATGATTTTTGTTTCCGCCAGAAAAAGGGAAAGGAGAGAAAGTACGAATTGTGGCTTTTTCTGCATAAAGGTTGGAGCCGCAACCGCAAAAATAATAACAGTCCCGGTTGAGTTAAATCACAGATTGAATCTCTTTCAGTGGTCATTTCATAGCTATTGAGAAGTTTCACTGGAAAATTACTGAGAAAAAAAAACTGCTAATATTTTTTACGTACGCCTGACAAGCAATTATAAACTGTACCTTGAAGTTTTCTGTGTTGCTTTCGTTGCATTACAAAACATTAAAAAGTCTAAGAAAATGTTGTTTTAATCTGCGAAAACAATTTTTTTGTTTTAATTCTTAATTGAAGAAAAATCATCAAATTCTTTTTATATGAACCCTACGAATTTCTGTGGAACTTTCACAAAAGTAATTTTGTATGTTAGGAGGCGGTCACAAGTTATCAAGATATAAAGGATATTCCAAACCTAGACATTACCTGATAATGAATGAGTTTTTAGAGTCGATAATTACTTTCAGGAGTGAACAACGGGATCTGCACATCTGCAGGTCCAATCTATCTCAACGAGATTGCCCCCACCGCCATCAGAGGAGCTGTGGGTGTCATCTTCCAGCTCAACGTCGTCTCTGGCATCCTGGTTGCTCAGATTCTGGGCTTCGATGCTCTTCTTGGAAGCGCAACTCTGTGGCCGTATTTAATAGGCATGAACTTAGTAGTGGGCTCAGTCCAACTGTTGACTTTGCCATTTTGCCCAGACAGTCCCAAGTTTCTGCTGGTGATCAAAGGGAGCAGAGAACGTGCGAGTAAGGCGTTGAGGCGTCTGAGAGGAGCGGAGGCTGACATCGACAAGGAGATGGAAGAGATGATTGAAGAGGACAGAAAAGAGAAAGAAGAGCCGCCAGTGGGCTATATGAACTTATTGACCGTCGGGTGAGCTTCATCATCGCCTTTTCTCCAATCTCTCTTCAGGCTTCATGAAAATTTTGACCAATTCTGGTTATTTTGTAAAAATTACGCGCACTTGTTCATAGCTTAATTTTTCATTATCCAATTAACAACCAGCTCTCTGACTTTTACAGTGCCTATTTGGTTGCAGATTTTAACCCAGGCCACTAAATTCGAAAGGTTCCACTGTTTTAGGTATCTTCGTCGTCCTCTTATCATAGCCTGTGTTTTGGCAATGTCACAACAACTCTCCGGAATCAACGCAGTCTTCTACTATTCCTCGCCTATCTTCAGAGCATCTCTGCCCTCCCACCTCCTCCGCGATGACCCCGACTTCCCCAAGTACATGGTGTCTGTGGCGGGTGCTATCAACCTCATTTTCACCGTAGTTGCGGTCTTCACTATCGAACCCCTCGGCCGGAGAAAGTCGCATATAATTGGTCTGTCTGGGATGGCTGTGTGCGCACTAGTAGTTGCCATACTCTTGAGTGGGCTGGAAGTGAATGATGACCAGACATGCAGAGGCGTAACTCCGACCGATGCCACCAACTATGTCTCAATCACTCTGCTTCTTCTCTCAGTCGCTTTCTTCTCCATCGGTCCCGGCCCTATTCCCTGGGTCATCACAGCCGAAATGTTCACTTCCAGACCAAGGCCAAAAGCCATATCCATTGCAAACACTGTCAACTGGTTGTGTAACTTTGCAATAGCTCTCGGATTTGAGCCCCTAATCAATGCAATTTGTGGTTGGGTGTTCATCATTTTTGCGATTTTGCTGATAATTTTTATCTTCTATTTGGCAATTAAGGTTCCGAAAACGGCTGGGCTATCCGTTCAGGATGTTGTGGCCACGTTCAAACTAGCGCAAGGCATGCGGAAGAATACTGAAGACGAAGAACAGAAGAAAGAAGAAGACGATAAAAGGGAAACTACATTTTAATTGCAATTTGCATTTTAATTTGACCAAGTAACTCTAAGTTAATTATCTTTTGACCAAGTATTTCTATGTTTCGACATTTTTATCAGTCGTGCAGTTTTCTTGGCTTTTTGTCTAGCTGAAGTCAGCGAGCTAAAAATAATATTTTTTCTCATAAATTCCTGAAAAAAAAAACATCAAACCGTGGCAAAATACTCGCCTCGAAAATCTTTACCAACATTTTTTCTTCTAACTTTCATCAAATTTCTAACGTTATTGTAAACACCGTTTGCCGATAGTAGAATAGTCAACTGACCTATCTATTCTAGCTCAGATAATAAAAGAAAGGATAAAGAACATAATTGAGTTAAGACCATATGTCATAGTCAACCCAACTTAACGAAAACATTGACTTGCTCACTTCAGTAGAGTTCGCAGCACCAACGTGCAAGTAAAACATGACCAGTTAAAGTAATTTATTTAATATTAAAAATTGCAATCACAGCGCTTCCCTTACTAAGAGTTTTATAAAATACCAACTTTTTTTACAATACTGTTTCTTTTCCCCTCGAACAAAAGGTTCAAAGACGGAAATTTGTGCAAAAAACTTACAACATTGTAGCAATAATTAGAGTACGGCAATCTGAAATGTATAAAAGATTATAAGTAAGTAAAAAAATTTCCTTTCATCTGCGGGATAATTGTCGACTGAAAAAATACTGTTGATAGCAGATTTTTAAAGTTTTAACAAATGAACTAGGAGCACAATTTGAGAAATTCTCAGCTTAATTTGAGCGGCAGGTACGTTCAGTCTTAGAATTAGAGAAAAACAATTCAGTAAATAAATCAATTTTGCTTTTCTGGGAGGAAATCCTTCAGGAATCCGTCAACTTGATGAAGTAAAACACTCTCAATAATTGACTCTATAGCATTCGCCTCTTTCTTATTCGTCGTTAAACTCTGAGGTCGGTAAGGATGTCAGCAACTCTTGGACTTCATGTTCTAGGAAGGTCCGAGTTGCACTGATTACTGTTCAACGAGGACATGCATCGGGGCGTCGTAGATATGGAAAGAAGGCGGAGGTACTGAATGCGGGCTTTCGTGTCTGTCTAGATCCTGATTTCGTGAGGCATTCCGTTGAAGATCCATCTTGGGGTGAACCTAAGTTTAATTTTTCCAGCTTAGTGAAGTTATCCCATGGCAGTTTGGCGATGTCTAAATTTTGGGCTTAAAATCATAAAAGTCGGCAGTTGGTTTATCTCGCCCTTCTTCCCTGCACGGTAAGACGCCCACCGTCCATTCCCAATTGGTTTGATCTGAAGCATAAAACAATGAAAAGAAAGATTCCTTTTCAGCGAGCAAACCTAGAACAATGTTCTTCTTTTTCGATATTGTTAGTTGATGTCTTGTCTTATTCCCTTTGACTTTGTCGTCCTGCTGGAATTGCTTCGAACTCTAATTCTTGTCATCTGTCTGAAGCAATGATGATCGCTTCATTCTAAACTATCGTTGGTCAAAATCGTTTCCATTTCATGCTGCTTCAGAGAGGATGTTTTAAGTTCGGATTGGCATTAGTTCATGTAAAATCTTTTTTTCTCGTTTGAACTTTTTTTCAATGAATAGTTTTATCCGCAGATTGAATAATTGAATGGGACATCTGCAGATTGAATAAATTTCTACCTCAACGATTGGTAAAAGAGCTCCTTGTCTCTTTCAATCAATACTTTTCAAAGGAAATTTCAATTCTTTAGAGGTTGCAATAGCTGAGGAAGATAAGTTGAGTAGGATAGGAGGAGACGCTGGGCGAGTATCTGAATCAAAGTCTTTCATGTCGGGTCACTTTTATTCTGTTTTCTAACGGAGTGTCTAGATATTCTCAATCAATCGTGTCATCTGTAGCGCAGTTGTAAGCTCCGTCTTTTGACAAAAGTATTTGTATGTTGTCAAAAAGATGTTTTTACAGACTAAGTTTTTCCGATGGGTATTCGTTTTTCTAACGAAGTTTTTCGCTAAGGCGTACAATTTGTTTTAGACCGAATTGCACTCCGAACACTGCATACAACTTTAAAACACGAGTAGTTTACAGATTGCTTGGGTGTTTCTGTGGAAATAGGCTGTAGTTTTTAATTCGCTGCATGAACATGTTTTTCGCTAATCTGTTGGACTGGTGGTCCGCAATAGTACTAAATACAAGGTTAGACATTTTGAATCCTGAATTAATTTAAAATCGGACCGAGTAAAACATGACGGGTAATTCACTCGGATAGAATTTGGAATACCATCTAATTGAATATAACCAAGTGAAAAGTCTGCTCGACAAATTTTGATCAGTTCGATTTTTTTTTCAATTTTCTTCTTGTCTCTTGATGTTTTCTCTGACACCACTATAGGATCAACACAACCTATGCTACCTTAGGATCAAAAAAGTGTAGGTGTAATTTGGATTGGAATCGAATTATCTCTAAAAGTTTCAAGTCAAATTTTGTTTTGAGTATTTATCGAAAATTCACAGTAATTTGGCATAAACGATCAATTATTATTTGAAAGTTTTTTTTGAGGAGGAGATTTTGTAACCAATTGTTTCAGATAGGTACTCAATTATTTTAATCTTCCCGGGTTGCCCCGTTTCTATCCTGAGTTTCAGTTTATTTTGTTTTTCTCAGATTAATTTTCGCAAGTGTTATAAATTTTCTTGTCAATTTTATCTGACAATAATTGAAGCGAAGCTTTTCCCCTGCCATTGCTTATAAATAAATGTCGAGGATATTTATTTGGTTCAGAATTCTGAGGCATCATAAATAAACCTTATATTTGTCAAACTAGTTAAATTTATTATCTTGACAATTTACAAAATAATAATTTTCCTTTTTACTACACAAAGAGCAAAAACAGGGCTTAAAAATGAGGGACATCACACATCTGCATGACGAAACGAAAATTCTTCCGGTCTGAACCCACAATTAAAAGCTCTCAGAGCAGCTCCTTTTTGGCTGCCATCAAGATCAAAGAGCTGACCAACACACAAATGACCACAAAGGCTTCAACTGGAACATCAGCCCCAACCTCGAGTGTAAACTCAAGCCCGACTTTGAAAACTAGGAGAGCATAACTAAGGATGATTATGGCTTTTGAAAAAAAATAATTCCACACATCAGAAGCACTGATATTTCTAAATGAAAAACCTAATTTACTTGGCAGAACACCATCACCACCAATATCGGCAAGCCAAAATGAATTTGACCAGAAAGCCACATGGACACTCTCACAATTTCGATCCGGGTAACCAACTTAATTAAATAATTACCATCACAGACTTAAAAACAATGTACTCGACTCCTGTTCAATACACATCACCGAGCACCTATTCATTCTTCAGGTATACCATACCTCCCTTAACAACAAGAGCTTGTGGGAGAAACCCGAAGAAGCTTTCAAGCATCTGCAACTTATCACGTAACCTCACAGCGGTATTTTTTATCGGTTTTTGCTCCCAACTAAAACTGTCCGCTCTAACCGAGATGCAGTTTCATTCAGTTCGCGGGACGTCAAAAGGGCCTGCGCGAATTGCAGTGATAGATCGATTACTGTAACAATGGGATCCAGAAAGAACACGAACGACTACACTCCTCGTGGAAGAACTTACGAAAACTTACGAAAACTTGCAGAAACAGCAGGATTTTCAGATATTTACGCACAAGATTTCAGCGAATATTTTCAAGACATCAAAGATTACATTTACCTAAATGGTGAAAAATATCGACCACAAGATATATCACCAATCAATATTTTTAGTTTTGTAAATCTCAAGAACGAAGTTTTAGCCTTTCTAGGATGGCCATTTTCTATCTTAGAAAGATTGACTGTCTTATACGCTATGTTTAACTTTATTGGATTTCTTTTCTCACTATTGAAAGGAATCTATAACACATGCGCAATACATACACAAGTAAACCGACAAGCCAGCGTAGCACGCATATTTTGCGCAGGATTTTTTGGAATATTTTCATCATCAATAAATAAAAACCTCATAGATGAACAAATTAAAATATACAAAACAAAACTATCAACAAATCCCAACACATACGATGATTCAAATAATAAAACAAATGCATTACCTACGGCACCCATTTGCCAAATCTACATCATAATCATCCATTATCATAAGTCTCACGAAATTTTTGATACTTAGCAATCACAAACACTCCAAACTTAAGACCCAGCCACATACAAAGCTCCATACAACATACAGTGACACAACACCATCCAATTGACGATACATACGAACAAATCATTGAACAGCCCCATACACCACTTTTCAATCTCAAAATAATCTTTTTTTTAGCCCACGATGAGCAGACAAGTTGGATCACTCCACCGATCAAACTCCCATCCTGACAACCTCCAAAATCAACTCCTTATTATCCCACTTTTTGCTTTTCCGCCACCTGATTCACCACAAATGAATACATCATCAGGCATGAATTCTGACACTAACTCAGATATCACAATTTATACAACAAATTCACAATTCAATAACTCTTATATTGAAACTCCCGATGAGCTCGCAGATTGCGAACCATCACCTTCTACTCATACCCCGACCAGCTCACCAACCTTCTCAAAACCTCCTTTCCGACCTATCCAACCAAAAGCCAAGATACATCTCCCTACACTCCTTCTCAAGTAACCCCAACATACTACCCATTCAAAAATGAACGCTCCACCAACAACTTCCAGATAACATTCAAATTTCCGAAGAACTAGATAATTTTATAACACTCCAACAACAATTGCTATCTCCCCACACTCCAACCATTCGCCAATTATCATCAACAATAACATCATCAAATCCACCAACACCTACACCATTTTCAAATTATACTCCATCATTAGCTCATTCATGCACATCAACAGAAACATCCACCAGTACTAATCAATCGTGCTTATAGAAATTTTAAACGAAAATTCCCAAATGACCCATTCCCATCCAAACCCGGAACTGCCCCAGAATATGTTAACCAACC